TTCCTACCATCTGGTAAAAGGTATCACAGTATACGGGCCAGCTCCACCAGGCTCCCTAACAACTTTTTTCGACAGGCTGTCAGGCTCCTCAACACCCTGGTACCTACTGCACCTATTCCAAATCTGGAAACCTAATTCTGATGTATTCTTTGCACAATTCTTTGCACAGTCCTGTAAAGTAAATTGCACTATGCACATTGCACTTCATGTACCCTGTACCCTGTCAGAAATGTCTATGTCTACATTGTTTATAGAATTGTCATGTCAGTGTCTTGTCCATATTCGCACTGTATACTTGTATATGGCTGGATTGACAAATAAACTTGAACTTGAACTTGAAGCATATAAAGGTGAGCTCAAGTGTGCAAGATTAGGATTTTAACTGTCTTCCTGAACTCCTGTTATAAGTTTCTTACTTCTCTTAGTAGCATTTTACTTGAATGGGGCTAAAGACATAATATAATAGTACGCATAATCCTTCATAAACATTTGTGCAAATGACATGACCGGTTTAGCGAATAACACAGTTATTACAGGTATTCATCTCAATTCAAATTGAGACAGTTACAGTTGGAAACTCCATGTAGAGAGAAGTCAGGTTTGAACGCTGGACAACAACAGCACATGAGGACTGTTAAGGATTTTGTGAAGCTGTTGAAGTGGGGTGTTTATGAAGGAGAAATGACAGCTGAGTGTTTCTTAGCCTCACTCAAGTAAAGCATTAATAGTTCTTTTATCTCATCTTGAATGTTATGGGCATCAAATAATTGATTCTACTTACCCAAGGATCCAGGGCCATTTAAGAGAAATTCTCCTCTTCCAGCCAGTTCAACTATTGTGGCTTGTTTCTCTCTATTGTGTGGAAATAGCTTTACAGTCGTCCCATTTTTGTAATCATGAAGAACATATCTCTCACTGGTTGCCACACAGAGGCAGTTTCCATCCACTGCCAGAGCCAAGGGCTCCTCCAAAAATGACACTTCCTTTACACGTTCCCATTTATCTATGGACACCATGTATAGATGAACCGATTTCTTCTTGGAAGACAGAGTAAAAAGCTCAATGCAGTCGGGAGCTGAAGCTGTGGCAGTCTCATTGACGTGAAAACTAGAAACATTTTGGATCTTCCGCATTGTCTGAACAGGCTCTAGGCTGAACATGTTCAGCACAGTAACAGTATTGTCACAGAGTAAAATTAGGTGGTTCAGCTCTGGAGAGGCTTTAAGCTGTGTAACTGGTCTCCTCATTCCCATTTGTTTAATCTTGACTTGTTTTAATGTAGGACATTTTTCCTCAGAGTCTGGAAAGCTCTCATCAGGCAAGACAAAATGTTGGACAACACAGTCTTTGGTTCCAAAGTAAAGGTTTTTACCACAGGCTTCCATGCACTGAAAGCTACATGTATCCCTTTTTTTCGTTTTGGGGTGGCTTTCAATAACCAGAGAAAGGCTGAAGACTTTGAGACTCATGCTTTTCCTTCAGCGGTTATGTTCTATTCTATCTGGTAAAATTCCTGTTTTATATGGATAGAATAATGCAGATTCTATTCTCAGTGGCAACCACAGCTAGAACCACATACTGTAGCAAAACAAAATACCATTAAAGAAGAAGTGGCCATAAAATATAGCAGCAATACTGAGGAAACATT